GGCAGGGGTCGAGTGAAATACTTGAACCAAGGAGATAGCAGACGGATCCTACGGGGCAATAGGGAGACTCTGATAAGACCTATGGAAGGAAGATTGCGTAACAATATGGCAGACATGATCAACATTCCCAGTACAAGGGTGAAGGGGAGTGGGAACACCAGCGTGGAATGTGGAGTGTTCTCATTAAAGCCGCTCAAAAGGGCACACCACACTAGATTTAAATAAGCAAGAAAAAAATGTCATAGTCAAGGCGTGATACGAGGATATAAGAGAGGTGAATAGCCCATGACAGGAGGAGAGATACCACAACTGTTTAGCACAGATTTGGTCAAAGGATCGACTTCACTTGTCTCTTTTGACGAGTTGTTGTATGATGCTAAGAATGGCAAGACTCAATGAAGACGCCGAATATGATGCCGGCGAAACGTTTGGGAATGTACCACGTGCACGGTCCGACTTTAGAAATTATCATCCATACAATGTACTCTGGACTAGGTGCGTTCCTCTAAGTTTTCTTAACAATATGACCAGGTTGCGAAAACAAGGTTAAACAATCTCTATACAACGATATAGGACTGTGACCGCACAAAAGGCCACACCATTGTGATTTTCATATCTTTGATTAAGAATTACTTATGCTTGATTGAAAGATTGAAAGGGAAGGGGAGTGTCGAGCCGCCGTCTAAAATAAGATGACTCAATTTCTCAGCTGAGTGATGCTTCTAACCAACATGACACTCGTTCAACAGACATATCAAGCTCATCAGCCATCATCATTTTGCTCGCATATATCATATCAAAAAAAGCAGGTTGGTCTTCTTGAATGGGGGTTAACTTGAGGCTTTTACAATAATGAGTCCCAGCTGTGACTATGTTCGCCACATGACGAACTAAATATAAGCTCGTTTTTGCCTGAAACGTCGGAGCATGTATTGTGGACTGCACTAACCTGAAGTAATAAAGCCAAACAGCCGCGGTACAACGGCAACTAGCCGGCCTGTTTTGGTCGGATTTACCTACGAATCTATTTATAATGTACTTCCATATAAAATGAAAGTATTGGCATCAATGTTATCTCAGAAGATTCTGTCAAACCCGCATTTTCTTCTTAAAACCTTTTTGAGAAGAATTTATCAAAGGCTTGAGCTATTGACCATGATCAAAAATATGCAACTATAGATTTGGTGCATTCTAGTACATTTCACCTGCATTGCCAGTGAATAAAGCCATTATTAATATCAACAGCTTAAAATGAATAGATAGAAAAATAAAATTTGCAACTAAATATTATTTAACAAGGAGAGGAAGCAAACATATCTCATTATTAGCAAACCACCTGAAGGCCAACACGAATACGTTTCTGAAGGGCTCCTTCAGGAAAAACCGCCTGCACCTGAGGGACAACAGTGGAGCTGAGTACGCCACCATCAGAGCCAATCATCGCAGTTTCCATACGGAATCGAGAAACAACGGCAAGATATTGAGGGAAGTCCGAGGTAAGGACCCGAAGTATCCGCTTTTCCTGTAATTCTTCAGCAGTTTCTAAACAATCTAGATATGGAAAAAATGATTAAGCATTAAATCATAGTATTCAAAGACCTTTCAGATTAAGCAAGCAATAGAATAAAATAAATCATTTTCATCTTTTTAATTACAAGCTAAGTTGAAGAATTGTAAATTAATCTACGCGATAAATTTTTAAGTACTAAAATCGTGCAAAAGTAAAATTAAATCTTGAGATTATGAGCTGGCAAGAATGGAAATATTGACGTAATTTGAGTAAAAATAATAAAAGAACAGGAAAAAACAATTTCCTCGATTTTAAGGGGCAATAGGGTAGTAGTGACCGAGCCCTAAACCCACCCATTCAGTATGAGAGTAGGGTTTCGAGACTACCAGTAAATCAGTGTAATGAGATGTATTCACCAAATTTCGTCTAAGGTGATGAAGGACTGGTAATAGAATTTTTCCACAATAATATGAGTTGAGCTGACGTTTCCATTAAATTTCACATTGCCTTGTTTTCCCAAAAGTTGTTCTCATTCAGAGTGGACTGCAGTTTCGACCTCGCATCGGTCTTATCAACACCCTCAGCGGGAGTATAACCGCGACAGTGAAGGATGGAGGCTTGAT